AAAATCATATGTGAAAACCCTGGCACCCAACTGAAGTAAGAAAGGAAATACCTTAATCCAGTAACACTGGCATTCTTACAAGAAGAGGAAGAGGCACCATCAACATGCAGATACAGAGAAACGATCATGTGAGTATATGGCAAGAAGGGAGTCGTGTGCCAAGCCACTGAGAGATGACTTCAGGAAGGCGGTGAAAGAAGATTTCACTGCTTGGGCCCCACTGCCTATTTAGAAGGCCTGGAGGAGGACTTCCAGGCTCATGAACTTCTGCCTTTGTGGCTATTTGGGAGTCAGTCAGCAGATGCAAAATTCTCTGTCTCTCTCTCTCTCTCTCTCTCTCTCTCTCTCTCTCTCTGTGTTTAGGGAAGAAAAGAAAAAGAAGTGATAATAAGATAAATTTCCTTCTCCTTCCTGCCTCCCATTGGTTGCAAATTTTCTCTAATCCTATAACACGAAGTCCTACAGATGGTTTAGACTGATCCTTGTCTACCAGAATTAGAACTAAGTATTTTGGCCACAGAGCCAAAACTACCAATAATGTCAGTCAAATTTAACTGTCACTTATCCAAATATTCTGGCCACATCTGGAGAAATTATCTAACTAGATTTTTCCTTTCCTTAAGCTTTGGCTCAGTTCTTAACAAGGCTGAATCTTTCCCAAATCCCTTTCTGCTTAAGGAAATAGATTAATAGATTAGGTTCCTTTTCTTTTCCATCTCCCAGTTTTCAATATTTTTTCATTATTTTTTACTAAAAAAAATAAAAAAGACCAGGTCTGTGGCAGGTTGGGCTGTGCTAGGCCATAGCACCCATCAGTTTACATGAGAGAAACTGACCAGGCAACTGCATCCACCAGTATGTGCATTAATTGGTATAGATAATGAACAAAATCTGACCCTGAATTAGCTGGCTCACATAAGAGTCAAAACTGAGGTCACTTCAGAAGAGATTTCTCAGGGGTCTCCGCAATTAAATGGCTGGACTCAAACCCCAGCCACAAGGAAAATCACACTATATGTGGTCCAGCCTTGGAGTACATGTGTCAGAACTGGGCCTCCTCAGTTTCTCTTGCCTGTGCAGTGGACAACATACCCAGATACACACAGGGGACATGACACCCAGCTCATATAGAACAGCAGAGGATGTTGAGTGCCTCATCAAGGAAGAAGTTAGAACAGATCAGACCATTCTCCTGGCCAAGCTTTGCAACATGTTTCTGAGTCTACGGATGTACACTGAGATGGAATTGATTAGCCAATGGACCTTGGAAAGATTTTCTCAACCTGTTGCAACAAAACCGATGACACCTCCAAACTATCAAAATCATACTAGTAACATGCTCGGAACACTGTTCCCTGCATCAGAGTCTCTAAGATGTCATTGAATGTGCCCCATACCCAGCTGGTGGTGTAGTTTAACAATAAGGACTGGCCCTCTCCCTTTCTCCTGCTGCAGACACAGGAAAGAAAAAGAAATTGAAACATTCATCCCTTCCATATTCCTCCATACCTTGACCCTCCCCACCCTAATCGAAGACCCACATAGGCATGCATCCCTATCAATTATATAAACAGTAGTAATACAAAATAAGCAAAAAATACATCTTCTAATCCACAGTGTTCTGTTACAACAGCAGGAACAGACTAATACACGCCATCATTCCAAGGTTTTTCTCTGTCTGCTTCTGCCCCACCATCTCCAGTTCCTCAGTTGATCCTCTGGTCCAAGTATTAACTAAGTCACTGTCTTCTGTGGGACACACTCCTTACGTTTTATGTATTATATTTTATCTATTTTAAATAAATCCATATTCAAAGACCAGATTTTTTTAAATATCTATTTTATTTTATTTTCCCAAGCATCAGCAGGGAACTGAATGAGAAGTGCAACAGCCAGGACTTGAACCAGCGTTCATATGGGATGCTGGTGCCACACAGGGATTAGCCTGCTGCCTCCACGCCAGCCCACTGGAAAAAAAAAAAAACAAGACAGATTTTAGAGCAATTTCTAGGAGAAATTTGACAGTAAAAGTAAAAACACGAAAACTGCGTGGTTTGATGTTTTAACTTTACAAAAGTTCATTGTTCTATTTTATTTCACAATGCACTAACTACTGCCATGTGTCAGTGACTTCATTTTCATGAACAAGTAACCTGACTCAAATACATGCTGAGAGAAATTGCTGTGGATGCTAGAGGAAAAACCGTAATTATAAACTCTAGCCAAGAAGAATACAGGCTGGCAATCAAAAATAAAAAATAAAAATAAGCACCATATACAGTTCAAATCATAGAAAAAAACAGTTAATTTCTAAATCCTCTTTGAACTCTTAAAAAAGAAAAGCAGTAGTGTGTTCCTGAAACATTAATCAACTAAAAATTTATTTCCACATTTAAATGCCAATTGTCCTTCTTCTACATAAGATTTATTTATATTTATTGGAAAGGCAGATTTACAGAGAGAAAGAGATTTTGTCTGCTGGTTCACTCCACAAGTGGAAGCTGAGCCAATCTGAAGCCAGGAGCCAGGAGCTTCTTTTGGGTTTCCCACAGGGGTGCAATGTCCCAAAGATTTGAGCCATCCTCTACCGCTTTCCCAGGCCACAAGCAGGGAGCTGGGTGAGTTTAGCTGCTAGGATATGAACCGGCACCCATATGCAAGGTTGCAAGGTGAGGATATAGCAGCTAGGCTGTTGCACTGGGCCCTGACTGTTGTCTTTTAAGCTCCATCTGTCTAAATAGTTAGTTAATATTGAATAAGGATCCTTAAAAACTCTTGTCAGAATTTTCACCAAAAAAAGTCACATAAACAACCCACTATATGTGAATCAATTAAACTGTAAGAACCATGGCTGTTTGGGGGATGTTTTTGTTGGGTTTTTTTTGTTGTTGTTATTTTTGTTTGTTTGTTTTGATTTTTTGCAAAATACTGATATCCTGATGTATAATCTTCTTGTGACATTTATATTAATACAACATCTTGGAAAAAAACAGCATCTCTACGCAGAAATTAACTATAAACAGTAAATCTCAAATTTATGTCAATTAACAAAATCAACAAAATGACCCAGATTGAACATTAGACAAATAAATTAACTTCATGGTCAACTCAATTCAGATTACCAAAGCTCACTTTCCAAATTAAAAGCTTATCTGAAACCACAAGAGGATATTTACAGTCTTTATTATTTATCCACGTACTGTGAAATAATTATGGGCAAAGCAATCCAAAATACTATAATAAATAGGAAAAATTCTAAATCCCAAGCAAGCTGGCCCCAGGGGTTCAAGATAAATGATGAGAACTATACAATAGTTTTACAGTGTTGGAAATATCGGCTCTGTTTCTTCGTTATTGTGCAGATTTTTAAAAGTAGCCTTCATGTTAGTGGTGCCTTGGGCAGAAAGTTCTAGTGAAGTATTCAGAGTGGCCATCTTCTCATCTGTTCTATCGCTAACCATCATTTGCTGTAAAGCACTGTGATAAACAGTGGAGAAGGAAGAACAGGAAGGCAGGATTCCCGTCTTTAATACGCTTACAACCTGAATTCGTATCATGGATCACCCATTTTTTTAAAAGACTTATTTATTTTCATTGGAAATGCAATTACAGTGAGAGGAGAGATAGGACACAGAGGTCTTCTGTCCAGTGGTTCACTCCCCAAAAACGGCTGCCGTAGCCAGAGCTGAGCCAAAACCAAAAACTTCTTCCTGGGTCTTTCATGTGGGTGCAGAGGCCCAAGCATCTGGCCCTCCTCTAAAGCTTGCCCTGACCAGAGAGCTGGATAAGAAGTGGAGCATCTGTCGTTGAAGCCAGTGTTAATACGGGATGCCAGCACTGCAAACAGAGGTTTAACATGCATCACCATTCCAACCCCATCTTCATGTTTTTTAAAATACTCCGATTTGGTAAATAAATGCTTTAAGGTTTTAAAGAAAAGAATGATCACATAAACCTTTGAGCTTCTGAGGGTTCCAAAGGAATTGAAACTTAGGCTCGACCCGAAAGACTAACAAGAGTCCTACCAACATGCAGAGAATGAATGAAGCGTATTACAAAAGAAGGCAAGCAGTATGAACACAAGAAACATCCAGTTCCTGGACCCAAAACAGTGAGATGACCAATGTAGCCAGAACAGAAGCCACCCGGGATTTATTTAATGTAGATTGTCTATTTTTTACCAGAACTAAGTTAGACGCTTAAATGTAACTGACAAATGAAACATACTCTTACAGAGAACTGTGGTATGGCAAAGGGAAACAAGTTCATAAATGAAGAATTATCCCAAGTTGTTACAGGTCTTATGTTAAAATGATATGAATGGCACAACAAGAATTCAAAAGAAGACACTTCCCCATCAATTTTCATAGATGGAAAGGAAAACGCTGTTTGAGAAAGTAATGATTAAGTTCTAGAAAGCACGTTTAGAACTCTTATAACAAGAAAACTCTGCACCCCTTTTGATAAACCGTTCTAATATTTGATGGCTTTGAGTCTTACAAAATTCTTTCTACTCTCCATGCTAACCTCTCTCTTACTACATGACTAATGGGATACTGTGACTTCCACTCTAAGTCTCTCATGTCCGTGTCTGTGTGGGAAAGAGACGATACTTAATCCCAGCACCGGTGACTCTGACTGTACGAGTCTTACTCAACAGAGTAACTGTCTCGGCTTCACAGTCGGCATTTTATCCTTGTCTGACTTCCTTGGGTCTCCACATTTACACAGAGAACATTCTTGTTTTGCGAAACACAATTAACAAAATTCCAGGCTATTAAAATACTCCTCAATCCAAATGCAAACATAGTAGGGTGTTTATTCAACAACTACTCCAAGAACTCAGTTCAGGCTCTTTTACTTTGCACTTAGGTTTAGTTTTTGAAATCCCTTCTGGTTAACATACTCGGGAATCATATTAAATGTAACAGATTGTCTCTGCTGGTAGTTGAATTCCATTGGTGTGTTTTTCTTTTCTTTGCATTTTTTTTAAATTATATAAAAACATGGACTGCTTCACCAATTTGTGTGTGGCCTTTGCACAGGCACCATGCCAAACCTCTCTGTATGGTTCTCATTTTACCATATTGTGCTGCCTAAGCGAACACTTATTTTTCTTGAGAGCAAAATCAATAAATGATGCAAACCAACAATGCTAGATGCTCATGCTCCTGATTTTCAAGTCCTCAAAGAACTTTCCACACTGATTTCATAGAGCACTGCTTTCCAACTACTTGCTGGTTTAATTGATTCTAGCAATAAAATTAATAGGCTTATCTTGTGATATTTGATACTCTTTTGAATGAATTATACAAATGTAAAAATGATGAAACCTACTGTTTTGTAACTTTATATATTCATTGACAAAATAAACCATATCCAGAATTTTGAGAGTTTCACGAAAATTTTGCATTAAAGAGAAAGTGTTTGTCTCATTGTATCCCTCAGGATCTAGGGACCCAATAGAAGGAGGGAAAAAAATCTGACCAAATTTATGCACACTGAGGTATCATTTACTTGACATCCTCCTACATTAAATATTCTAGAGTTATTTTTTTATTTTAGAGCCCAAACATTTGTTCAACAAATTCAAACTACTCAACCATCTGTTATTAATCTAAATAATTCCGGACAAGCACGTCTGAGGAGCAGAGCTGCTTTCTGAAGCTGAGAGATCTTGCAACCTGTATCCCTTCAGAGCCAGAGCCAGATCTTCCTGTGTAAGAGCATCTTACACAATTTTATGTCTTGCCTCCTCTTTCCTACCTCTAAAGACAAACTCTGACAGTTTTTTCCTACATATACTTTACAATTCCTGTTCCACATACATCTGAGGCTCTTTGCATTCCATAGTAGTGGGCTAAATTACTAAAAACAATGAAATTCTACCATTGGCAACAAAATGGTCCCAACTAGAGAACATTATGCTCAGCGAAATAAGCCAATCCCAAAAGGACAAATATTATATGTTCTCTCTGATGTAAGGCGACCTTCACTCAAAGCACAAGATCAGGGCCCGGCGCGGTGGCACAAGTGGTTAAGGTCCTCCCCTTGCACGCCCCGGGATCCCATATGGGCACCGGTTCTATCCCGGCAGCCCCACTTCCCTTCCAGCTCCCTGCCTGTGGCCCGGGAAAGCAGTCGAGGACGGCCCAAAGCTTTGGGAACCTGCACCCGCGTGGGAGACCCGGAAGAGGCTCCTGGCTTCGGATCGGCATAGCATCGCCGTTGTGCTCACTTAGGGAGTGAATCATCGGACGGAAGATCTTCCTCTCTGTCTCTCCTCTTCTCTGTATATCTGCCTTTCCAATAAAAATAATAATAAAAATAAATCTTTTTTTAAAAAGCACAAGATCAGTGGATACATCGGTATACATGCATGCACCTGGAGTCATCTAGAGGAACTGTGTAATAGACTATTATACCAAGAAGATACATTGCCATATGCACATCTTCTTCCAAATCAAAGATGGACTCCCAATGAAATTTTTGAGTATGTCGTGACAATGAGATGTTGACCTCTCTGCCATTGTCCGTACCTACGATGTCAGGATACACTTAAATAGAAGAATGATGGAGTAATGACTGTTTTTGAAGGAGTATACTATTGTAATAATATAAGGGAAATCAGTGGGGAGGAAGAAATTGAGAGGGGGAATCCCAAAGCCTTGGAAATGTATCATAAAATAAAAAGAAAAAAAAAAGTTTTTTAAAAAAATTTAAAGAGTGGGCTTAACTAGATGATTTTAGATGAGTTTAGTCCTAAACTTCTATCTCCAGGACTAATTCTCGTGCTAACTGAACTACACTAACTTCCCCAGAGCCTAGATCTCATGCTGGTCGAAAATCACCTACAGAATAGAATGTGACTTTAGAGAACATCTCAGTGTAATGGATTCTTTCCAGAACCCACAAACAGCAACCCATTTCCTGAGAATTTTATTATTTATACAGTGCCTTCTCACAAATGGCTCTAATGCTCCTTCTAAACACTTCTGAATAAACCAATCATGATGACAAAAACAATGAGAACCAGGGAGACAAAAGCAGCAGCTTACTGATAAAAATCAAAATTATATAGCTGTCTGCAAGTTGTGTGTTTTCTCGTGCTTCATTTAAATATCCATTTAGTGTTGCCTCTGAGAACTAGGTATTGGTTCAATTAGTTTACCCCTATTAAAAATTTTCAAGGAAAAAACTTCTTGCCATGATGCAAAAATGAGTGTTAACTCAAATTCTTGAGTTGATGCTTTTTCATTTCCTATGATTAAGAATTCATTTTTCTAATTTCTGGTAGCTCCTATCCGTGTGTGTGTGTGTGTGTGTGTGTGTGTGTGTGTTAACTATAGTGATCCCAGCTCAGGGCTTCTTAAGTGTTTGCAAGTTTTGTATGTATTTATTCCGGAGGCAAGGGGGGGTGCTTTTACCTTCTGGTTCACTCCCTAATTGCTCATAGCAACCAGACTTGGGCCAGAACAAAGTCTGGGAGCCAGGAACTCAACGCAGGACTCCCACGAAGGTGACAGGAACACAGCCACGTGCCATCCACCTGCTGTCCCCAGGGAGACATTAAAAGGCACCTGGAGTTAGAAGCAAAAGCCAAGCATCAGACGAAGGCACTCCAATGTCGATGTGGGCATTTTACCCAGCGTATTAATCCCGGGCCAAACAGCAACCCCTCTGGTGATCATTTTAAAAGCTCAGATCATTTATTTTTCTACAAGTAGTCTTCTTGTGAACCATGCATTTGCATATTATAAGTCTCCACATTCCTCTATTCAGACTGATTGACATCTTTATAAGCATTTCACCGGGCCATCATGGACCAGGAATGACGTTATACAAAGTGGGATAAAAGGCTTCAGTGACCCCAAAGTACTCACTGTCTACTGAAGAACCCCACAAATAAGCAACCACAGTGCACTCCATATTACTCAGCATAGTCAGGACAGCCAGTTCATTGTTACAGGAAATGGGGTGTGGAGGGGAAAAAGTTCAGAGAGCAAAGATTTTTAAATACACATATCTGCTTTAAATATTTTGCATTAGTTTAAACTTAATATCAAAATATCAAAATATCAAATAATGTCAAATATTATTAATATCAAAATAATGTCTTTTCTCTCCTGATGAACCTGTCTCTTGTATAAGCTACTTCCATATCATATTTTGGGACTTTCTACCTTTTCATCTTATTAAGAGGTATAAGAATTTATAAAGAGGTGCCATGCAATGTGACAAATTAATTTTGGACTTGCAATTTTTGTCTGCTTTGTTTTTCCCAAGTTTTAAGCAATTTTGATTTGTTCCTATGTATTAGAGAGAGATCTTTTCATTCCTGATTCACTCCCCAGATGCTCAAACAAACCGGATTGGACGAGGCTGAAGCCAGGAGTCAGGAACTCCATCCAGGCCTCCTATGTGGAACAGCAGGGATCCGGGTCCTACTGACCACCTGCTACCTCCCACCTGTAAGAACAGAAGTGGACAGGAAGTGGCTGTCCCAAGCGGTGTCTTCACTGTTGTGCCAAGCACCCACTCCTAAGAAGCTCTGTATCTATAGTAAATTCCACAACTTTTAGTTCAAACTTTTGCTTGTATCCTATTTTGCAAAACCTAATTGATTTTAGAATGACTTTTTCTATTCTTATTTCATTCATTGGACAAATAAATTATATACTTACAATAACAAATCCAGGAATAAAGAAAGCTGTTTCGTGGTGAGAAAGCAATAGTTGGGAGGCCGATGTTCATGAAGTTTCTATAGGGCACCGTTGCTGATTAATGGTGAAGGGTGTATTCTGTTTAACTTCAAAACACCTTTTTGGACTGATTAAAGCAGCCCTGACAAGTAAGCAGTTAGAAAAACTCCTGCTGGTGCCTTCAGCCGCCCACCACAATGTATACATTAAAACCACCTGTGTTGGTTCCTATTGTGTACAAACTACTTATCCCCAGCTTCCACTGCCCACAAACCAGAATTTTGGCCTGTGGACCCTATGAATCTGTGTTTTAGTGAATTCCTCGGATACTTCGTAGCAATGCTAACCATACAATGGACTATTAGTAAAATGAACTATTAAGGTGGGAACACTCCTTGGGTCTAACTTCTCTCCACATTCTCTGAGATTTGTAGGAATCAAGAGGGCCCTAAAATAGAAACAAGCCCTTTTGAAACATAGTTGATATTGCAGAAAACACAGAACATGAAAACTAAAAAGCTGCTCTCCAGTTGTGTGTGGTGCCTTTAATTCAGCGAGAGAAAAGAAATCTGGTGGGCTGGAGTTGGTTCATGTCAAGTTTTGTGCAATCAAGTTGTTAAACATGTCCATTAATAAAATCAAATTATATAAACTTATGGGTCATTAGATTACATTTAATTAAGACAGCAGATACTAAACTGAAGCACTTCAAGTCGTCAGATGCCGCAATAAGGTAGTCCCAGACTCCGCACCACGGATTAGCCAGCTGTAACCTAGGCTCTCCCACCCCTCCCGGATTACAACCGAGGAATTGATGTGAACCTAAAAATGCATATGTTGATCTGTTTTATTATTCATCTATTATTTTCAGCATTATGTTTCTATTTGATTTGAAAGACAGCTAGAATGAGAAGGCGCACACTCCCCTCCTCTCCAGCAATAAAAATGCTGACGCTTTGTCATCTGCAACCCTGGAATGGACCTGGAAATCATTATGCTAAGTGAAAGAAGCCAAAAACAGAAAGACAAAGATTGCATGATCTCACTTCTATGGACAATCTGAAAAAGCAGATGACCTCGTGAAAGTTAGAACTGGAGAAGGACAGTTGAAACGAAGGGATGCAGGAAGGTTAACAGGTACTAATAGCTGGGTAGCAGTAAGAATTTCTAAAGCTTTATTTAATGGTAGAATAACTAAATATAATGTTCTGTATATGTCTCTATTAAAAAAAACTAGAAAATAGGATTTTGCATGTCTTCACCATACAAAATTGTTAGGTCTTTCATTTATTCGAGAAACAGAGGAATGGAAACAGGGTTCACACTTGCTAGTTCATTCCTCCCAAATGCCCACGCCACCCAGGCCTGGACCAGGTCTAAGTCAGGAGCTTGGAGCTACATCTGA